TCTTATTGATCACTTTTTGGCTTTTTGGGGCAAAACTCCTTCTTTTCTATTTGATGGGCTTGAAGGTCGGATTCACGCTGAGCTTATGCGTGATGATTGAGGGGTCAATTCCCTACATATCCTCTTGTTCCAGGAAACCACCTCCATATTCCTTTTAAGGAATTGAATAAGGAGGTCTTTAACTTCCCTATTTAGCTTAGATCTCACATATATTAGGTGTTTTGGCTCATCGTCAAGTTGAATACGCTCCAGCTCTTCTAAGGGTATTGGTTTGGTTTCCAGATCGTCTCTTATATCGAGCTTGTCCAGCTGGATATTCTTGACCTCTTTCTTTTTCATGGACTCGTATAGCATTCTCATGTTACAGGTTGGTCTCCTCGGACCACTCCGATGCCATTTTCCCTAAAGAATTTCAAGATGAGGTGGTAGGTAGAAGGAATGACCCTTATGGCATTGAGGGAAAGTCTTCCTAGTAGAACGTTGTATGCCGAGGGAGCATCGACCACTAGGAACCTCACAGTGGTGGTAGACTAGCAAGGTGGGTACCCAATGGTGAGCACAAGTTGGATTGATCCCAGGGGTAGCACATTTTTGCCAGAGAATCCTAGAAGGTGAGCCCTTACTAGCTCAAGGTTTTCTCTGTCTATATCCATCTTTGTCGAAGGTAGATGGGAAGATGACGTCGGCAGAGCTCCCATTGTCAACTAGAACTCGATGGATGGTTTTGTTGGCGATGATGAATCTTACCACCAAAGGGTAGTCATGGGGATGTTGGCAACCTTCTAGGTCTGCATTAGGGAAAATGATGTTCATGCTCAGCTAATGTGTCTTGGTCACAGCCTGTACTTCCAGCACCTCCTTAGTTCTGATCTTGCGTTTGTGAGCTTTCCTAACTAAGCTTGACTCTCCACCTCCAGCGAATCCTCCGGATATCACTCTGATTTCTCCCAAAGGTTGTTGATGTTGTGCAGAAGCCTATTGTTGAGGTGCTGGAGGTGGATGAGCTCGATTATGATGATCTAGCGCTACAAAATGGCATAATTATCCCATTTGGATTAAGAACTCAATTTTCTTCTTCAGTTGGATGCAATCATCTGTCAGGTGGCCATGGTTTCTATGGTACTTGCAGTATTTTGTTGCAACCATTTTTTGCGGGATCTGCCTTCATTTAAGGTGGCCACCTCGGGAACTTCTCGTTATGTACCTCATAAAAGACCTAGGACATTGTGGCTGTGAGGAGAGTGAACGGCCGAGGTGCAAACCTTGGTTGTAACTCCTGCGGTGGGGGACCTAAGTGATCTCTGACGTCTCTCCTTCTTTTCAAAGGGCGGTCTATATCTCTTCGTGGAGATCTATCTCTACTTCTATCTTTTCTAGGTCTTCGGTCCTTCTTCTTTTCTTTTTCCTTGTGCGTGGACGAGCTCCCTACCTTAGAAATGAGCACTTCCTCGTCGTTGATGTACTTTTCTACCTTGGCGACGATTTCTACCATACTGGCTTGTGAGTTTTTGGAGATGGAGAACATTAGGTCCTTTGACTAGACTCCCAGCCCAACAATGAAGGTAGTGATAGTGATGAATTTTCTAATCAGGGACGTCTACTTTCAGAGTCTCTAAATTAAATTTCTGAACATAGCTTCGTAAGTTCTCATTGGGCCCTTGTTTCACATTCAATAGGTGGTAGTTTGGCTTCTGATAAGTCCGAGCTCCTATGAAGTGCTAAACAAATGAGACGAAGAGCTCTCTAAAAAACGAGATGGATGCCAGAGTCAGCCTGTTGAACCATGTTAAGGCTGAACCTTTTAGAGTGATAGCGAAGGCTCGACATCGCACTGGGTCTTAGTACTCATGCAGCTCCATTTGATTTTTATAAGTGTTAAGGTGATCCATGGGATCTTTCATCTCATCTAAGGCCTCCATCTGGGGCATCCTGAATTTTTGCCGAAGTGGAAAGTGCAGCACTTGTGCGATAAATAGAGACTTAGTATGTTGGACTAAGGCATCCATGGTCACTAGAGCTTTGCCTTTTCACAGCCTCCTTTATGTGGCTAAGCTCCTGTTGGATGTCTCTAAAGTGTTACTCCCAATATTGTTATTTCCCTTCCTGCTGATATATGGGAAATTCATTCTTATTATTTTCTCTATTTTGACTTTGTAACTCCTCATTGTCCTCATTCCTATGAACTCGACGATGGGCATTGCCCACTGTTTGACTGCGCTCATCTACTTCGATGACGTCTCTCGGAGGGTTGTTGTTCCCTTTGAGGGGGATCGCCTTGGGCTGGTTGCGCCCTTTGGGGATGCTGGAGGAGGTCGAGTAATTCCTCGTTCTGCTAGAGGGAACGCTGATTGGCTAGGCGGAGGACCTCTAGTTCGTTGTCAAGTATGGGATCCACCATAGGGGGATTGACTTCATGAGTAGGCAAGAAATCACGAGGTTTTTATTGCTGTCTTCCAGTGGTAGTTTCTTGTTGGTTCTGTAATCGAGGAGAATTCATTTGGCTTTTGCTCATGTTGCGTGTAGAAACCATCAATTACTGAAGAGAATCAGTATATTTTTGACAAGAACAGTCGTTCCCACAGACGGGGCCAACTAATGATGTCCTTAACAACTGATGAGCGATGATAGGAATGTAAGTCGCACTAAATAATTGTACGTAGCTCAGTCTGAACTCCAAGACCAGATGGAATAGGATTTGGGGATAAGTGGCTAATCACACTAAGTGTTTATAGTGGTTCATTAGCTCAGGAGCTCGGCTAATCCACTCTCAAAGGAATCTCTTGCTCCTGAATATATATATTGATTATTATATAGTATACAGAGAGTATTTTAATAATGCTATAGTGGCTTGTGTTATTTTTGAGGGCTCTGTCTCTTATTTATAGTTATTCCTGGGTCTAGCTAGATCAGGGGCGAGATCCCTGCCTTTCCCTTGTAACGGTTGCCTTGATTGCGCTATAGCTGTAGTGGATGTTGGGGTGGTTACGAGATTTGTGCCTGCTGCGCAATTGTCGCCACAAAGAAGGGTACTTGGTGGGATCTAGCTGTCCTTTACATAACCTTCCTCGACACGTAGACACAAGGAGCTAAGGTCTGAGATCGAAGTCTATAAATAATATAAATGAGCTGAACTCCTGACTTGAGTGGTATGACCTAAGTTGCCAATCTCATCTTTAGGTATTTTTTAGGTATCATCATTGTCCCTAATTCAATTTTCGTAAATTAGTGACTCGAAATGTAGTAAAAAATGAATAGACAGAACAAATGATAATGCTAACCTAAAAGTGTTTATACCATTTTAAAAATATTAATTTCTCAACAAGAATAAAAATAATTATTTTGAAATATCTTTTAGAATTGATCAATTATAGATGATTATTAAGGTTTGAAATAATACCGGTGTGTTTCACTTTAATATTTGACTTAGTTGAAATGTGTAGTAAAAATATTATCATTTTCGTTTGTTCATATTGAATTAATTTTTATTTTAATTTTCATTATGTAATTAAGTTTTTGATCTTAACATATTTCTCATAATTGAACTAAGAAATTTTTTTTTTGTGAGTGAAATATGCACTTAATTTAGTCATTATCAATGGAGATGCGGAATTTTTTTTTAATACAAACTGATTATATTATTTATTTATGATTTTGCCTCCAATAGGATAAAATCTTCCCCCCACCTTTGTTAGTCTATTATTTTCATTATCAATGATTAAAAACAGTGCACATTAGGATCTATAACTAGATAGACAAAATAGTGCACATTAAGATCCACAACTTGAGAGTCATTTTTCGGTATAGTAGTGAAAAGTTAATTCTACAACAGTTGAAGACTTACAAATTTTTCGTTCTTTTCTAAAGAAGGTTTTTCATCCATTTTCTCAATGAGATTTTTAGTTATCATCTTCCTTCTTCATTATGTTACTACGGATAATTCGTGTGTGAATGTACGGTGTAACATGAATGATTTTGAGAGAAATATTGGTGGTCATGGAATGAGTCTATTTGAGACCGTCGAATGAACTTATTGAAGCCTATAAGAGAAAGAAAGTAATATTATGTTAGGGTAGTAATGTCATTTGACACTTTCTATTACATTTTGTTAAAGACAAAAACTGACAAGGGTGACAATAATATTTTTAAAATTATAAGGGCGCCTTTGTAATTAGGACATTTTTCAAGGGGTCAATAAAATTTACCCTTATCTTCGTGAATGTGTGGCCAATATGGCCATGCTGCTTTTCCTTCCGCTTTTAAACTTCCAAAAGACCTTAAAAGTCAAGTTTGTGCCAGAGTTCATCAAAGCCCAAGGAAGGATTGTCTGGCCTTCGGTGTTGTTCTTCCTCAGTACTTCAGAGAAGAAAGAGAGAGGTATGTTAGAAAATCCATCTTCACCTTGTTTATTACATGATCTTAGGATCATAGAATACATGAACCATTCTTAATCACTGATCTCTTGTTACTATCCATGTCCATAATTCAGTGTTTTAGTGACCGTGTAGGAGTTAGTTGACTCTAAGCTAAATGACCAATATAGTTATCTCTATGTCTATACATTTCCATTGTATATCAAAATCTTTTTTTTTTTCTGGGGTGAGTGTTGATTTGATGTTATGTTTAGGGGATAGTAGAAATATTTTAATAAAAGAATTAACTAGATCTACAATGACAGTTTCGCACCAAAAGGGCAGTCTTATGTAATTGCTATGATGGTTAAACATGATATTGACTGGTTGCTTATCTTTCTGTAGTTTTCAGATATTGTTTCATCATAACTTTCTCATCAGACATGGCTGGAGAAGCTTTGATTTCTTCCATTCTTAGTAAGCTTGTAGATTTAACGTTGCAGCCAATTGCACGTCAGTTCGGCTATCTTATTCATCACAAGAAGAACATTGGCGAACTTAAAAAAAAAGTTGAAGAATTAGAGAGCCTGAGAAAAGGGGTACAGGATTCCATTGATGTGGCAACAAGGAATGGAGAGGTAATTCGAGATGATGTAAAGCTTTGGGCAGCAAAAGTCGATGAATTTTTGCTGGCAGCAACAAAGTTCTTGGAAAACGATGTCAATATGAACAAGAGATGCGTCAGTTGGTGGTGTCCCAATTTGATCATTCTGTACCGACTAGGTAAAGAAGCTAAAAAGAGGACACCGGAGGTCACAAATCTACAACAAAACGGCATGTTCAATACTATATCCAACCCTGCACCTCTCTCAGGGATATTGTCCATGTCCTCTGGAAGTTTTGTTGCCTTTGGAACAAGAAAAAGTGATATGATGAAGGTCATGGGGGCATTGAATGAAGCCAACGTCCACCTAATAGCGATACATGGCATGGGGGGTGTGGGTAAGACCACATTAGTCAAGGAAATTGGCAAAAAAGCCAAAGAAGAAAAACTTTTTGATGAAGTTGTAATGGCCGTGGTATCTCAGAACATAGACATAATGAAAATGCAAGACCAAATAGCAGACATGTTGGGTCTGCAATTTACCCAGCGAAGTGTTCCTGGAAGAGCAAGTCAGTTACGCGATAGACTGAGAAATGTGAATAAGAAGTTGATAATCTTGGACGACGTCTGGGATGGATTTAAAGTGGAGAACATAGGCATTCCATTTGGCAATGATGATCATAAAGTTTGCAAAGTTCTTATCACAACCCGACGCAGGGAAGTATGCAATTCCCCTGCCATGGGAATGGGAAACCAATTAGAAAAAATCATTACTCTTAATGTCTTATCTGTAGAAGAATCTTGGGACTTGTTTAAGATGAATGCTGGTGAGGCTGTTGACTCCCCAAGATTGACCATGGTGGCAAAGGATGTTGCCAACGAATGTCGAGGTTTGCCTATAGCACTTGTTACAGTTGGAAGGGCAATGAGAGGGAAAGTTGATTCTGAAGAATGGAAAGAGGCAGTTCTAGAACTTAGAATATCAGCACCAGCAAACATTGATGGTGTTGACAAAAACGTGTTCAAAAGTCTCAAGCTGAGCTATAATTACCTACGAAATGATGAAGCCAAGTCTTGCTTCTTGCTTTGTTCTCTGTTTCCTGAGGATGGCAATATATTGATAAAAGATTTGGTACGTTATGGAATAGGATTGCGGATATTTAAGGATGTTGATAACGTGCAAGAAGCTAGACGCAGGGCAAAAGTCGTGGTCAATAGGCTCATAGATTCGTGTTTGTTATTACAAGGCCATAAAGAGGAGTTTGTCAAATTGCATGATGTTGTGCGGGATGTTGCCATATGGATTGGATCTGAAAAGTATTTTGTAAGAGCTGGTCAAAATTTGAAGGAGTGGCCAAATGTTGAAAGACATTACACTGGCATTTCACTGATGTGGAATGACATTGATAGCCTCCCCCCTGTCTGGAAGAGCCCAAACCTCCAGATGTTGCTTTTGCAAAAGAATCTCCAATTACTTTGGCCAACTGAATTCTTTAGTGGGTTGGAAGCACTTAAAGTGTTGGATCTAAGTCATACTAGAGTTAATCTTTCTAAGGTTCTTGGCATTAATCACCTAGCAGGTCTACGGACATTGGTCCTAGACGATATGACCGTGCCTGTGGACACTAAATTTCTTGGACATATGAAGACTCTTGAAGTTCTTAGCCTCAAAAATTCTGTTTTGCCTAGTCCACCATTGGAACTTAGGGAATTGAGCAAGCTGAGGTTACTGGATATGAGTGCTACTCGGCACAATTCACTCATTCCAGCGGATGTGATGTTAGGTCTATCCCGATTGGAAGAGTTGTATATGTTTAACACCTTCATCAATGAGGAACCTAAACCTGCAGTTGAAGTAGCTGTAGTAAACTCTTTCCCTCACCTATCTGCCCTAGAGATTTCAATAACGGATTCTAGAATTTTGCCTCAGGACTTCATATTCCCTGATGTGAAAAATTTTAGAATTAAAATGGGTAATGGTGGTGGATTTGGCAACACAGAATGTTTGGGGCTCTTTGATTTGGACGCAAATATGCCTTGGTGGAAAAGGAGCTTGAAGAACCTGTTGAAAAGAACAAGTGACCTGAAAACAAATAATATAAGAAACATGAAGAACATTTTTCCATACTTATTCTTTGATGGAGATGTTTTGAACCTTGCAGAGCTTCTAGTGGTTGAGGAATGCAGAGAGTTTGAGTACTTGATCAATAGGGATGAGAAAATGGAGATAGCAATTCCATTACATGAGGAGGAGCGGAATCCGCTGCAACTGTTCCCTAACCTTGAAGAATTGATACTTTATGGTTTGGATACCTTAAAAGGGATATGTCATGGTGCAATACCTTCCAGCTGGGAGATAATGTCCAAACTGAAAGTCTTGGATGTTTCGTATTGTTGTCAAATGTCTAGTCTTGGTTTTCATATCAATTTGCTTCAAAGGCTACAATTTCTTGAAAAACTTGATTTATTGGATTGTTCTGCGTTACAGCATGTGTTTGAGGGCCAAAGTGATGATGGGCAGGTTGCCGTGGATGAAGGAAATGAGTTGAGTCTGCGTGAGATATCGCTAATAGACTTGCCTAGTTTGAATCAAATATGCAACTGCCCGGGTCGAATCGTACACCTCCACAACCTGAGACATCTCGACATTATAAAATGTAGGAGGTTGAAAAATCTCTTCCAATCTTCCGTTGCCCAAACTCTTCAGAAACTGGAGATACTGAAGGTATATGAATGTGAAGAAATAGAGGAAATTATTGCAGTAGAGAGCGAAGAGCAGAAAGTGGCGGAGAAGATTGTATTTCCTTGTCTCAAAATTCTAGAACTCAGAGATCTTACCAACCTCAAATGTTTCTGCATGGGAGGCATTCATTTTGAATGGCCGTCATTGAACAGATTATATGTTGGAAGGTGTCCAAATATGAAGACTTTTGTTGCAGCTGCTGCTACTAATAGGACTCAAAGCAATCCAAAACTGAAGAAAATTATTGTGGATGGTTATGTGAGTGTGGCAGAAGAGGGAGAGTCAGTAGACTTGAATATAGTTATTCAAAGAGCAATGTTATATGGACTTAAAAAATAGATTTAAAAATTAAACTTGATAGTTTCAATCATTGATTTCACTGTAGGTCTCAGTATTTATTGGGACCCACTACTTATTCAATTGTTGAGATTATCAAGTCTAATTTTTTAAGTCTATGTAACATTACTCTTACAAAATCACGTCAAATTACAAGTACGGATCTTCCCCCCCCCCCCTTCTCTCTCTCTCTGTTTAGGAGGTTTCAATTCTATTTTTTCTTTTTGGCTTATAGGAATATTATTCAAAACCAAGAGTATTTAATTTTCAATTATATTAATTTGGACTTAAAAAATTGCCCTAATTTAGTGACTCAATAGTTGTTTGTATGGTTTAGTTGTTGATTTGTATATTGTTAATTTCGATCAAGTTTAATCCTACACCATCAAAGATAATGGGATTTGATGAATTTGATGGTGAATAATTGAATTGATCGAATTGAAAGAATTTTAAATTGAGAGGATCCAAACCCCTAGTGATCCTGCTTATGGGACAACACTTTTTTCTTGTCTTTTCTTTAAACTATTTCTTATAGTACTTGATTTAATGGTGCAGTAATTCCAGCACTAGATGCAGGTTGTGCTATACTCAACTTTGTGGTTCATTATTGAGGTTGCTATTACGAATAATCTCCCTACAAGCTAAACACATGAAGAGGGGTGTCATGCAAAGATTGTCTGCTTGCAATTTTTATGTTTTTTCTTCTTCTTTTTCTCCTCATCTTCATCCTTTAGACAAGAGGAAGTAGTATCGGCTTGTAAAATTTGTTCGTACAATTAACTTGATGTGTACTTGTTCTATAAATATTTTATAAGGACTGAATGTCCAGGTGTTGCTTGTGATTGATTTCCTTTATCCTACAAGTCTGACTGATCAGTTCTGTGAATGGTGCCTTAGTCTTCTTCTTGGAATACTTTTCTATAATCAGAAAAATGGGGAACGCCGACATTTAATTAGTGGCAATTGGGTCTAATGACACTACTCCCAAAGTTTAAAATAAGGGATTAAATTTTTGAACAATGTTACATGAATTTAAAAAGTAGATATAAAAATTAGATTTGATAATTATAATTATTAATTTAACTGTAGGTCTCAATTTATTGAGATCTACTATTTATTTAATGATTGAAATTATCAAGTATAATTTTTAAATTTATAAAGCATTACACTAAATTTTATACAGACTAGTCGTAAATTCCATTGTTTAAAAAACTCTTATCAATGCCTGACAACTCAGCTGATTCTGTCTTCCACCTCTCTTGATGTGGTCTGCTTCTACGCATCCCTTACAGTCACCCACCTTCGGCACACCACACCACACCACACTACACTGCATTCAATGAAACAAAGATCATATTGTATTTGCCTGGGTGCATGACAGAATTGTTGATTCAAAATTTTAGTTGTTTCTGGGTGCTTTGTTCAACCGTCAATGGTGGGCTTGGTACAAAAATAGAGTTTCTTCTAAGTGTGAGTTTCTTCTAAGTTGTTTTTGGTTGCTCTGTCCCAGCGTTTACCTTTCTCGACATCGGAATAGTTGGTGGTAAACCAAAATGCCATTAATTCTATTTTTCGGTGTTTATAAAGGTTTTTGCTAACGTTTATAAACTTCGGTGATTTCAAATTTTTTTGTAGTGACCAATTTTTTTTAACTAATTAAAATATGACACATAAAATTCTTATTTCATTTTATTATTTTTACTATCGATGATTTCAAACAACCTAAAATGAGAACAACAATTTGAAAATTATTCTGTAGTATCATAAATCAAACAATTAATGCTGGTCTTGTATTCTTTTCTTATGGAGCTTTTTCATTCCCACGTTTCTCTTTTGTGATGTTATGTCACGTAGCCTTCAAGATTATGTCACATTTTGTTGTTTCATAATATGTAATTGGCTTCGCACTAATGGAAGTACTATTCCAATTACGTGTCATTTTTATCTGTCAGTTAAAGAAAATAAGAGGGAATAAAGGAAAATGTCCTACGTGTGATTGTGCAGCTTCCCTTTTGTTGGGTAATGTACATTTGATTACAAATTATTTGTCCTTGTTAAGGCCGCTTTTAAAACATTAGCACTATATAATTAAAAATTATACAATTTTTCATAACTCTTATAATTGATTGAAATTAAGTGTGTTCTACAGTTTATTTTTTTCATCTCCTAAAGTTAAATTTTTTTGAAAATGTTTTCAAAATAAAGACAAAAAATTATATCTAGAAAATATTCAAAGATTGGTTTAAACATGACAAAATATCATAAAATACTTCAAAACATATCAAAACACTTTTAGACACCTCAAAATATTCAATCGTTGAGTCGTTTCAGTTTTTATAGAAATTGAAATGTTACAATCTTTCAGTGGAAACAAGAAAAGTTTGATTGTTCATTTGAATGTTACTTAGATCCATAAATCTAGCAAAAATAACTTAAATTGTTCCTTTTTATATTTGACATGTTTTGCATAGAGGTATATGCATCTGAATGAAATTTGTAGATATGGTAATGCTCCTACTTTAACAGATTTTGCATATCAATGAGTGCTTTCCATCCATCATTGTAAATTCTTGACTTAAAGTATCGTTAATGGCTTCTCTCTTGTTACTATGTCCATAATTCAATGTTATTTAATGTCTTCATGAGCTAAGTGGAAGTGTGCATTTGGATGGTTTAAAATAAAAGGCAAAATTTATTTTATCCCTTTTATATGGTTTAGATCTTAATGCACATCACCCATCTCCCATGTAATAATATCCACATAACTCGTATAGTTTGTGAACTAAAACGCACTGTTAATATCGTTAACGATAAAATTAATTGATAGTTGATCTGTGGTCGTGTAATTTGTTGAAGGAATGAAAAAGGCAAAGAGCGTACCACTTTCTATCCAAATATATTTGTTTACATGGCAATTATTGCATTAAAATGGGAATTAATTTCACAATAGGATTAGTTTGGAATTATTTCTAAAATGAGCAAAAACCCTAAACTTTTCATAACATTAGAAGTTTAATACATAGAATCAGTTGATAATCACCTTTCTAAAATATTAGAGGTTGTATTCAACTCATACACTTATGATAAAAAATCAAAAGCTATCGAAATTTATTAAATCTTACATTTTTTGAGAGTCTGTAGCGCAGTACTCATTCATATATACTTCACCTCTTATTTAAGTTCAACAAAAAAAAAAAAACGAGTGTCTCAGTTCAATAAACGATGCTATTTGATAATTTGATATAATGTTTGTAATTTTCTTTGGTAATTTCTGTGAAAAAGTTTTAGAGTTAAGAACTAATGCCATTTTTTACACAATCCGAACCCAACATAAAATTAGTAGGTTGGTATACACTAATTTTAAATAAGAACTCGAAAATAATATGACCTGATGAGCCCAAATCTAACTGGATTAGGCCCAATTAATTAAACCCAAAATAGTTACAAGGCAAGTCAAGTCTAGTTTGTGGATGCCGCCTAGTCCAAGATTCAGGAGACCTAAGAAGCCAACACATGTGAGGAGTAATTACCGGGATAACTACTGCTCGAAGATCAAGATCATCTTTAAGTGTACCTATCTTTAGCTGTATCTATCCTCTCCGAATGACTAGTGACCTATCCATCACGTTATCGCTTCAACCAAGGTTATGTGCTTATAAATTATAAACTTTCTCCACATGAGAGAGACGTCTCTCTATCTCTACACACTCTCTACACGGTTATCTCTCTCAGCTCTAAGCTTACCATTTCTCTCTCTCTCTCTTACTCCTACTTTATTAAAAAAGTTCTTCGGTCACTGTTGCCGCCTTCGGAGTGAAGTAGGTCACCTTAACTGAGCCACTATAAATCTGTGTGTTAACCTAATCTTTGTCTCATTTATTAATTGCTTTATTGATTGCTTCTTTAATTATTGAGCATAATCATACACTCGACTTGTATGTTGTCTTAGTGAGTAGTAGATTAGGCTTTGGTGAACCCTGAGCGGTTCCCCATGGTTTTTCCTGAGAAAGATTTTTACATCAATAAATCACTTGTGTTATTTGTTGTTTATTGTATACACTTGTGATTGGTTACACACACATGCACAATGTGCTTCTTAAAATGATTGTTTGAAATCTATTCAACCATAGTTTTGCAAATTGAGGTTGGGTTTTGGGATCGCTGTGAAATTGATTGTGAGTGAATTAATTCAAAATTAATTAATCAATCTTCATGATTAAATCGGTTTGTGGTGACTAAAAAGGTTCTCACATTAATTTCTTATCTTTGTGTCACGAGGTAATTATGGTGGTTTAGGTTTTTAATGGTAATTAATTGGGTTAAAATTAAAAAACCTATTCACCCCTTTAAGTAAAGTGTCTATAGCTCCAGGTGTATAATCGTGAGGGAAGATAACGCTAGAAGGTGTGGACTCTGATATATCTATGAAGAACCACTTCAATGCAAATGTACCTTCTCCCTCTATTTATTTTTGGCTCCGTTCTTAACAAAAGTAGAATTTCATGATACGAGAGTCATACAATCCAATATAAGAAAAGAATATCCAATTTACCATATTTTTCTAAACCTCTAGTGATGGGATTTTTCCGAAATACCCTATGATGAAGACACGTGTCCTCGGTTTTACTAAAACACTTGTTAAGATCAAGCACCATCGGCTTACGAATGACCTCGCCCCTGAGGTACTGGCGTATAGGATCATACATCCAGTATATTTTACAACCGACACGTGGCCTCGGTCTGATATGTACCTCGGTCGGCACACCTCCCTCGGTCCCCGAGATGAGCCTTTCCTCGGTGCCGAGAGATATCCCATCCTAGACGCTTCCTCTATTCCAGGATAAGCTATTGACGTACAGGTCATTAGTCTAGGCTAGTCTAGACTATTCATCATGACCTCATCTTACACAAGTAATGTCAGAACATACTGGAATACAGAGGTCATAGTCAATAGGGGATGGACGCGTGGCATATGATATCACATCAAAGACAGACAAACCGCATGCTGTTGCTGACACGCGCTTTGGGAAAGCAAACAATTAATTGCACCATTCCCTTGATGAGACCGCATTCAA